GAACCCTTCTGATTCCCTTGGGCCCACCCAGACAATCCAGGATAATCTCCCCATCTCAAGATCCTTTATTTATTACATCTGCAGAGTCTCTGTTGCCATGTAAGGTAACATATTCACAAGTTATGGGGAATCGGAAGTGGTCATCTTAGGGGGGCATTTTTCTGTCTACCACAGTGACTTTGAAAATTTATGCTACTGGTACTTATATGTCAAGACTACACTGAAGAGGAAAAATATATTTCTCGTGATTTTTTTCCTAACAGTTTTATTGAGATATAATCCACATACTACTCATTTAAAGTGAACAATTCACAATGATTTTTAGTATAGTCACAGAGTTGTGCAATCATCACATTTTCATCTTCCATTTTTACATGAGGAAACAAAGGCTTGATACAGTAAGGAAACTTGCTTAGGGCGACACCTAACGACAGTGCTGAGGCATTGCAGTCAGTAGCTGTCAGCACCTGAGATTCCCTTTGTAAAGACCAATCACCTGAGAGCAGTGTGGTGTAGTAGTGAAACACGGAGGTGCTTAGGCCAGGTTAGACTTAAGTTCAAGGCTTTGTTTTTGCTATGTACAAGCGATGTGACCTTTGGTGAAACCTCTTGGGGCCGTGATTTCCTTATTTGCAAAATGAAAACAAACAAATAGAGAGGCTGGAGTCACCTGTAAGATCTCTCCCACCTATGTAATTCCAAGCTTCACAAGGGGGGAAAAAAGATAATTAAAAATAAATTCCCCAAACACTGATGGCAACAAGAGGGTAAGTATTCCCCGAAGACAGAGGATCACACACTTCCCTTGTACTCTGAGCATCTGACACGGGTTTCAGGGGCCCTCACTGATGGGCCTCAGGTGGGTGAGAAAGACAATATGTAAAACGACCCTTATAAAGGCAGAGAAGGGTGGGAAGAGTTGAGGGGCAGGGGCAGCGGCTGCGCAGATTTTAGGGTGGTCTGCCCAGGAGTGGGCGACCATCCCGTGAGGGGGCCCAGTTCATCTACTAAGTGAAAGATAGATGGAAAGTGGAATGTGTTGGAGGGACGGTTATGAAAGTAAATCTTCAGACCCCGATTGGGTGACACCACACCACGTGTCACACAGCTGTAAACCGCACCCCTACCCCGGCTTCTTCCGCCACATCCACTAGTCCACGCAACTTGGTACGCTCGGCCCCTACAATAAGCCTCCTTCCTCCGGTGTGCGATTGGTACCGCCCAAGCTCGAGGAGTTGGAACCCAACCAATGACACACCCTTTGCCACGCCCCTGTCTCTGATTGGCTGAAGAATTTAAAGATCCGGCCGGTGATAGGGTGATTCTCTACTGCCAGTATTTGAAAGTTTCTAGTGCCGGAGCTTCGCCGGCAGGCAAGCTCTGTTCGGCTTGTTAGTCCGGTGCATGTGAGTGTCTACCCGATCTCAGAGATGGGGGGCAAAGAGACTGCTTCTTCAAGGGGTGCATGCTGGAAGGGTGCAAACGAGAGGGTCAGACGGAGGGAGCAAGGATTCCCGGGTCCCACTGCGATTTCTCCGACCAAATATTCTACCCTTTCCCCACGTTGGAGATGGGATGCAACAGGGCTTCGGAATCACACTATCCCAGACCAGCTGTGTGACCTCTCCCAACCTGTTTCCACTTCTGTACACGCGGAAACAGTGAGAGCTGCCCGTCCGCGTATAAACCAGTGAAAATACCTGGAGATAGGAGGAGCATATTACATGTCAGCCCCCTTGATCGTCTCCCCACGTGAGAGTCCCCAGTTTCCCAGGGAGAGGACTCAGTGCCTGCCTTGGGTCTTTTCTAAGCTGCCTTCTTTTCTGTTCAAGGTCTCCCTTTTTCTGCAGCTCTCGCTGGACAGCCGAGGCTCCCCAAACCGGGGTGCATTTGACGCTGCCCATCCACCACTCTGGAAATTATTGTGTAGGAGAGTAATTTCTAATTGAATTTTCGGTTGGTCCCAGTGTCCTTTTACTATCTCTGTGGCCTTTTTGTATTGCTAGTGACAGCCTCTGTGACCCTACGTGGCCTTAACCTCTCTCCTCGTCAAGGCCTCTATACCACCTGTTATGTCCCTGGGTACTCGTGACCCTTATGTTCTGGTCCTTTTGCAGACTTGCAGAAGCGGTGACGATGCTGTCGGGAACCCCGGCAGCGGCAGTGGAATGCGAGGACGCGGAGTTGCGGTGCCGCGTGGCTGTAGAGGAGCTGAGCCCCGGCGGGCAGCCGCGAAGGCGCCAGGCTCTACGCACCGCAGAGCTGAGCCTGGGTCGTAACGAGCGCCGCGAGTTGATGCTGCGGCTGCAGGCGCCTGGGCCAGCTGGGCGGCCGCGCTGCTATCCCCTGCGCGCTGCGCGTCTCTTCACGCGCTTCGCCGCCACTGGGCGGAGCACATTGCGGCTCCCCGCCGAGGGCGCTCCTCGGACAGGCGCTGTGCAGCTGCTGCTCTCCGACGCACCTCCGGATCGCCTGCGCCGCTTCCTGCGCATGCTGCGCGTCAAGCTGGTTGCGGCCCCGGGTCCCCCGCCGACCTCTGCCCGCACGCAGCTGCTAGGCCCGAGGCCCCGCGACTTCGTCACCATCAGTCCAGTGCAGGCGGAGGAGCTGCGGCGCGCAGCTCCCACCCGAGTCCTAGACACCACGCTGGTGAAGCAGTCCATGGAGCCCCGTGCGGGGGCAGAGCCCAGCACTGTGAGGACAAGAAAGGGGGGGACGCCTTGGGGACTGGGTCATGCTACTGAGATGAAAAAGACATTGGAGACTCAAGTTGGGGGAAGGTGGTGGTGTATTTGAGGGAGCTGCTGGTTATCCCAGAGGAGATGCCCATCGGACGTCTGAGTATGACAGAAATGTGGGAGTTGTGTGCTTGTTCCTCATAATGCAATCCCTGAGACTGGGTAAGAGAGAATAGGAAAAGGGGGCCCAGACCTCATTAAAAGAGAAAGCAGAGGAGGCCTAGAAAGGAGACTTCAGAGGAAAAAGAAGAATGTAGTGGCACTGGAGAAGGGAAGCTTTTGGAGAAAACGAAGTGGTCAGCAGTGTCAGGAACCGATCAGATACGGGTGTGACATAGTCTGGTGGGTTTGACAGTGTTTGTGAACTGGGACATATGTAGATCACAGGTTTGAGACTCAGCAGGTGAGAAGATGGAGATGGGGCAAGAAGGGGCCCTGGCTAGGAAGGGTTTTGCTTGGGTATTTTGAGGTGAGAGACAGGTTTGCGATAGGAAGAGAAGTGAGAAGGAAGGATGGGTAAGAGGACCAGGAGAGTTAGAGAACCCAGAGGAGGGAGCTTAGGGAGAATCCAGACCCATGCAGTAGGGTCTTCAGGGCACCAGGAGTCAGTGGAGACCCAGCCTTGGTCCCTTCCTCAAGGAGAGACCTGGATCCCTATAGTTACTGGCAAGATCTCCAGGTGAACCAAGGCTGCCCAAAGGCTCCAATGAATGAAGCCAGCAGAGACATAAGGGCTACCAGGCCTACCATTGCATTGGGCCAAGAAGGCATTGCCCAAGTGGGGAGCGATACTTATGGAGTAAGAGGAGGCCCTGAGATAGCCCTATCCCCCCAGGAAACCCCAAGGTGGCCCCTGCCTGTGAAGAGGCTGAATTTACCCTCCACCAAACCACAGCTTTCTGAAGAACAGGCTGCAGTGCTAAGGGTCATCCTGAAAGGACAGAGCATTTTCTTCACTGGGAGTGCAGGTAGTAGGGAGCAGAGTTGGAGGTGGGAGGGAGGATGGTAGTGGGGTAGGATGGAGGAAAGGTGGCCCTGACTTTGCCCTCTTCCCAGGGACAGGGAAGTCTTATCTGCTGAAGCGTATCCTGGGCTCACTGCCTCCCACAGGCACTGTGGCCACTGCCAGCACTGGTGTGGCAGCCTGCCACATTGGGGGTACCACCCTCCATGCTTTTGCAGGTAAGTGAGAGCCCCTGGGGCTAGAGCTGGGAGCAAGCCATGCTCCTGGGAGGGAGGGAGGGAAGTTCAGGTTTGAGACAGGGCTGGGGTCTCAGCCCAGGCTGAATAGTGTCACTCTCAGGCATTGGCTCAGGTCAAGCTCCACTGGCCCAGTGTGTGGCCCTGGCCCAGCGGCCAAGCGTGCGGCAGGGCTGGCTAAGCTGCCAGCGGCTGGTCATTGACGAGATCTCCATGGTGGAAGCAGCCCTATTTGACAAGCTGGAGGCTGTGGCCAGGTCAGTATGTGCAGTGAAGTCTGGGTTCTGGTGGTTTTCCATGTGGAACCCATCCATCCCAGCCCTTAAAGCATTCTTGCTCCTCTCTAGAGCTGTTCGGCAGCAGAATAAGCCATTCGGAGGGATCCAGCTCATCATCTGTGGAGACTTCCTGCAGCTGCCGCCTGTAACCAAGGGTTCACAGCCCCCACAGTTCTGCTTTCAGGTACCACTTGCCCTCCTTCTCTGCCCTCCCATCCCCCGAGGGTCTGCTTTACTCCCTGACACCTCACCTTACTCCTACCAGGCCAAGAGCTGGAGGAAGTGTGTCCCAGTGACCCTGGAGCTGACCAAGGTGTGGAGGCAGGCAGACCAGACCTTCATCTCTTTGCTACAGGCCGTCAGGCTGGGCAGGTGGGCCCTGTGAATAGTGAAGGGGCCACAAAATAAGGATCCGTGTGTGGGGCAATGAGGAGCATAGGGACCCAGAGCAGGGGGAGATATGCCTCCTGGGCCCATAGATGGTTGTTCTGGGCACTGGGACCCTGCCTCTCCCAGGAGTGGGATCCCCAACACCCACTGCAGGGCCTGGCACAGAGTAGGAGTCAGGGAAGTATGGGCAGATGGACACATGAAAAAAATTCAGAGATGTCAACACTCCTATTTCACAGATGCAGAAACTAAGGTTCAGAGAGGTAAAGTGACTAGACCAAAGTCACAGCTATTAAGTGACTAAGTTGGGACTTGAACCCAGGTCTGACTCTAAAACCCAAGTTCCTTCCACTTTTAGAGCTCGTGGAGTCACTTGGTTGAGGAGGGAAGGATGCAGACATAATTCCAGCCCAGCAAGGACAAAAGATTGAAATGCTACAACTACTCTAACGTGGGTGTAGACAGGCTGGGAGGGCAGAGGACATGAGCCAGAGATGGGTCTTGAAGTCCAGGTCAGATTGGGATGAGCTAGGAGGAGGATGGTAGTCATGAGTTGTACCTCCTGCCTGGGGACAGGAGGTAGGTACGGAGATGCACAGCACACACCAGCATGCATGGGGGACAAGAGTAAAGAGAAATGGCAGAGCAAGGAGAGATGAAGCCAAGTTGTTTCCTCTCCTCCCACAGGGGTTGATGCTGCACCCAGGCCTCCCCATGTGGAAGAAGGCCAGAGATGGAGGGAAATAGAAACATAGGCTCCATTTTTCTCCCAAGACAGCAGGCCAGGGGCTAGAAGATTGTCTCCTGGATAGCAATCTAATTATAGGTTACCAGTATTATAGGTGTCAACATCAGCACCTGGTCTAGGTCCTCTAAACCTCTGGCCCGTGCTCACTCAGCATATCCAACTTCCTGAGGGGCCTTAGGGGTGGGACACAGGAAAGGGTGCCCTCTATGATCACCCCCACACACACCATTCTCAATCTCCATGTATGGGGTCCAATTCAAGAAAGAACAAGTTGGCCAGCCTGGGAGCCAGCAAATCTTGCCCTGATGCCCCTTTCCAGTCTCTAGGCCTAACTCATGGCCTGCTGCTTGGGCCATACCACCCACATGCCCCACCTTCCCTGGTGTTCAGGTGGGCTCTGCCCTGACAGCCCAGCTCCCACAGGTGCTCAGATGAGGTAACTCGCCAGCTCCAGGCCACAGCTACCCATGAGGTGGGGCGAGACGGGATTGTGGCCACAAGACTCTGTACCCACCAGGATGACGTGGCTCTTACCAATGAGAGGCGGCTGCAGGAGCTGCCAGGTGAGCAGGGAGCTGGAACTGGGCTAGACCAGCTGGGAAGGGCCTTCAGGCAGGTGTGGCCTCCCAGGCAGCCTGGGCCCTTGGGATCATTTAGTTATCCAGGCCCCAACCTCTGTGACCATAAAGGCTCTTACATTTGCAGATATAACTATGATTTTGAGAGATGTGGCCTTGAATGGGTCAAGGTCACTCAGCCAGTAAATGCTGGAAGTGAGACTTGAACTCAGGTATCTGATTATAAAGCCCCAGCTGGGCCTGAGCTGTCCCCACTACCTCCCTGCCATGCCCTGGTCTGATATGTGTTTTGAGAACCTAAGCCATGAGTCAGTGACTTGTAATCTGTTTGCCCAACTCTCTTTTCCCAGGTGAGGTACATAGCTTTGAAGCCATGGACAGTGATCCTGAGCAAGCCCGGATCCTGGATGTCCAGTGTCCTGTTAGCCGTCTCCTTCAGCTAAAGCTAGGAGCCCAGGTAAGTAGGAAGCAGAGCCTGGACCCTGGGATCTTGGGCCTCTCCAATCCTCGCCCCTCTGCCCAGGCTGCTCCATAGCCCAGGCCCAGCTGCGATTACAGCCAACTTCCTTCCTCCTATTCCCACCCACCTTCCTGTCTTCAACTTTCCACTGCCCTCCCATTCCTATGCCTGGAGCTCCAGGCAGTGTGGCTTTGGATGAGTCCCTTGCCCTTACTGAAGTTTGGTTTCCTCATCTCTAAAACGAGGAGTAAAATATCTACCTCACAAAGCTATCTTCTGTAGTTTACCCTATACTTTGAGAGAGTCCCCCTTCCTTCTACCATATTGGGAGTGGCCCAAATGGGAGCCTTTTCTCAGTTCTGAAAGGCACCCAAAGGAAAAATGCAGGTACTGTATGGTTGGAAGAAAGGTGGCAGGACCTGGAAGCTATCACTCAAGATTGTGGCCCACAGACATACCCCATAACAGACCTGGAAATTTTCAAAGCCCTGTTACCTTATTGCTCTTTATGCCCTCCTGAGGCAAGCTGAGCAAATGTCATTCCCCTTTGACACAAAGAGAAATTGAGACCCAGGAAAATAAAGCAGCTTGCCACAGGGGTCAGAGTCAGCCGGTGGCCCAGTTAAGGATTAGGACTCAGTGCCCCTCCATGATGGCCCCAAACTTCTCAGAACCACTGCAGTGTCTGTGGGACCTGAGACCAGGTGTAGGAATGGGACAGCTCTCCATGCCTCCTGTTCTC